GTGGTAAATTCTCACCCTAAGACAATTCTAGCATTTCTACAATTATGTATCACTCTTTACTGGGACCTTATCAATTGGTATTAGAGCTTGCGCAATGACAACAAACAAAGAACGAATTGAGCTTTTGGAGAAAGGATTTGGTGAAGTCCAAGATGGCATGCAGCGATTGGAAGATTCCATGATCAATAGATTGCACAGCTTGGAGGAAACCATTAACAAGCTTTCAGAGGCCATGATCGCTTCCAAGGCGTCTTCAAGTTACCACAACAACAATCTGGATGGCTTCTCATGCACACATTGGGATGACACTAATGGGGGAAAGAAGAAAACTAACAATGAGGGTGGATGCCATATCTTCTCATAAAAGATGGCCAAGTTAGAATTTCCATGATATTCTGGGGATGATCCAACCTAATAGTTCAATCGAGTAGACTAATTTTTTGAATATCAAGAGACTGCGAACAATCAAAAAGTATCATTGGCCTCATTCCATTTGGAAGGAGAAGCCAACCAATGGTGGCAATTGTTATGTCGAGCCTACAAGGAAGAAGGATGCACTGTCACGTGGGAGATATTTGAAAAAAAGCTTTAGGCACGGTTTGGGCCCACCAAAGGTTAGATAAGGGGGTTCCTTAAGGGACTATCAAGAGGAATTTGAGAGGTTGGGCAATCGAGTTCATAGTTGGACTCAAAAGGCGTTGGTAGGTACATTCATGAGCGAATTTAAAGTTGAAATTTCTAATGCTATTCAGATGTTCAAACCATAAATTGCCAACACAATCAACTCGCACACCATTGACTCTTCCCTAACCAAAATCCAGTTCTCTAGTTCTGATAAAAAGACTAACATGGGATGAAATGCTGAGACGACATACATAAAAGCTTTGTTTCAATTGCAATGACAAATTCATTACTGGATATAAGTGCCAAAGACCGCAACTGTTATTACTAGAAAGCCTTAGTAAACTTATCAGATTCATGTGTGAAGAAGTTACTGATAACATTCCAATAAAGGACATAGCTGAGGAGAACATTGAGCCAGAAATTTCACTCCATGCACTTACAGGTTGGTTCACACCACGAACCATGAGGATTGACAGACAAGTTAGGAATCACACTCTAACAGTGCTCATCGACAATGGGTTTATCTATAATTTCATTAATTCTAAAATAACAGAGGAGCTTCAATTACTTGTTATTCCTATAGGACCCTTCATTGTAAGGGTAGTAGATGGCAATTGAATGAAGTGCCAAGGAAGGTCTGAACAAGTCTAGGTTATTCTCTAAAACATTCCATTTTCATTAACCCTTTATTCAATACCTATCACAAGCCTTGATCTTGTTCTTGGTGTACAATGGCTTGAACTCGAACTAGTGGTGTGTAATTGGAAAAAAATGACAATGGACTTTTGGTGGAAGAATCAAGCTCAAACATTAAATGGTTCTGATAGCCAAACTATACAACCTACTTCACTAACAGCAATTACTAAAGATGTCTGCCATGGTTGTTCCACTTTTACAGTGTATATTGTCAATCCATAAAAAAGATAGAACGACCCAATATGCAAACAGATAGGAAGGAAATCATCAATAACTTTAAGGATATTTTTTATGAGCCCACATAGTTACCTCTCGCTCGTGAAGTTGATCATTGCATTCCTCTTAAAGAAGGTACTGAGCTTATTCATGTGAGGCCCTACAGGTATGCCTACTTTTAAAAAACTGAAATTAAAAAACAAGTTCAAGACATGCTTAAGTTAAGGCTTATAAAACCAAGTACTAGTCCCTTTTCTTCACCTTTTTTGTTAGTTAAAAAAAAAAAGATGGCACTTAGCATTTTTGTACTAATTATAGAGCTCTCAATAATATAACCATTAAGGATCAGTTTCCTATCCTACCATTGATGACATGCTTGATAAGCTCCATGGAGTTGCCTTTACAAGATTAGACTTAAGAGCAGGGTACCATCAAGTACAAGTAAATCCAAAAGACATTTATAAAACTGCGTTCCGTACCCATAATGGCCACTACGAATATATGGTCATACTTTTTGGTCTTTGCAATGTTCCTTCCACTTTCCAAGCTATTATAAATTCTATTTTTAATCCTCATCTTCATCAATTCATATTAGTTTTTTTTATATGATATTTTGATTTATAGCCCTAATTGGACCATGCATCTAGAACATGTTACAAAGGTTTTTGAAATTCTACGGCAACATACATTTTTTGTAAAGGCAAATAAGTGTACATTTAGGCAATCAGAGCTTGAGTACCTTGGCCATATTGTGACTAATAAAGGGGTCAAGGTTGATTCAAACAAAATTACAGCTATGGTAAATTGGCTAAGGCCAAGCACTATTTCAGATTTACATGGTTTTCTAGGCCTTATAGGTTATTATCGAAAATTTATACGCAACTATGGTATGCTAGCAAAGCCATTAACCAATCTCTTGAAGAAAGGGCAATTCAAATGGAGTGAAGAGGCAGAGGCATCTTTTCTACAGCTCAAACTAGCTATGATGACCACACCTATTTTAGTTATGCCAAATTTCAATGAATCATTTACAATTGAAACTGATGCTTCTGGAGAGGGTATTGGTGCAGTGTTGACACAGCAAGGCAAACCCATTGCTTTCCTCAGCCGAGCACTCGGAGTGGCCAAGCTTTCATGGTCAATATATGCTAAAGAAATGCTTGTCATCCTTCAGGTAACACGCACTTGGAGACCATATCTGCTAGGCAAAAAGTTCTTCATTTAAACGGACCAGCGCAATCTTAAGTATTTATTGGAGCAAAGAATTAGGACACCAGAACAGCAGCGTTGGGTGGCTAAATTACTTGGCTATGACTATGAAATCATATATCGCCCAAGACGCGACAACTTAACAGCTAATGCATTATCAAGAGTGTCTGAAAGCCCTATTCTTAATGCCTTGTATGTGCCACAAGTCAGTTTATGGGAAGACATAAAAAAGGCCTCCACTGGACACCCATATATGGAACAAATTATCCAGCAAGCTCAGAATAGGCCTAGAAAACATTATACATGGCAAGATGGGTTAGTTTTCTTCAAAACAAGTGTTATGGTGCCTCCTAACACAGCTATGATAGAACAATTACTATAGGAATTTCATGATACAAGGATGGGCGACCATTCTAGTGTATTGGGTACATTTAAACAGTTATCTCAGCAGTTTTATTGGTTATCTATGTATCGTGATGTCAAAGAATATGTTCACATATGCGTTACATGCCAGAAAACTAAAGTTGATAATCTTAAATCAGCTAGGCTCTTACAACCTCTTCCTATTCCATGTCAGGTATGGGATGATGTTACTATAGATTTTATTGAAGGACTCCCTACTTCACATGGTCGCGATACCATTTTACTGGTAGTGGACCATTTAAGCAAATCTGCTCACTTCTTGGCCTTAGCACATCCTTTTATATCAAAGATGGTGTGTGGTGAAGCTACATGGCATGCCTCGTTCTATTGTGAGCGACATAAATAAGTCTTTATTAGTAACTTCTGGCAGGAATTTTCTAAGATATTTGGTACTCAGTTTAAGATGAGCTCAGCATATCATCCTTAAACAGATGGTCAATCAGAGGTGGTTAATTGCTGTGTGGAGCAATATTTACACTGCTTTGTTCATCAAAGACCACAACAATGGAGCCAATTTCTTTCTTAGGTAAAGCTATGGTATAATACAGCTTACCATTCATCAACAGGAATGACACCTTTTTAAGCTCTTTATGGATGCTTACCACCTACATTTCCACTATATGCTACTGGCTCTTCATCAGTTAATGAAGTTGATCACAATCTTTAGGTATGGGACATACTGCTCAGGAATCTTAAGTAGAATTTAGCGAATGCTAGGAATCACATGAAATAATTAGCTGATCGTGGGCGACAGGATGTTGAATTCACAGAAGGTGAACTTGTGTATCTCAAATTACAACCTTATCACCAACATACTACTTTTAGATGAGCTCATCAAAAACTTGCTTGCAAGTTTTATAGTCCATTCCTAATTGAAAAGCAAGTCGATGTTGTAGCCTACAAACTTAAGCTTCCAGAGGGCGCATGTTTACATTCAGTTTTTCATGTGTCGTTGCTCAAAAGGAAGTTGGGTGACAAAGCAGACACTAATATGGAACTTCCACCTATTGATGAAGGGGGCACCATTATGGTCACACTAGAAACTATTCTAGACACGTGTTGGATTCCACACTGGGCAAGATTTATTGAGGAGAGTTTGATGAAGTAGAAACATTTGTCTACAGATGATGCCACTTGGGAACCAACGGATGAACTATTGACAAACCACCCAAGCTTGGACCTTGGGGATACGCGTCCACTTGATGTGTGGGGTAATGATATGCAGTTAAGAGAACTGTTGCCACGAAGGACCCAACATGTCATAATTTTTTTTTTTAAATATCGTGATTAAAAAGAGTTACATACATGTCAATTGCAATCATGTTTCCAATTCAATAAGAGAAAATAAAGCAACTACTTTTACATTATTTGCATTTCTATTTTGTAATATGTTATTTTTATTTTGACGGATTTACTAAAAATTATTATGGTTTAGTTATTTATATGTATGAAAATAAAATAAAAGAATAGCATCATTTTTATCCAGATAATATTGTGGTAAATTCTCACCTTGAGAAAATTTTAGCATTTATATAATTATGTATCACTCGTGACTAGAATCTTATCATTATGTAGAGATAAAATCCAATATTTTTCAAGAATAAATCTATGATCTTATCACACTGTAGAGATAAAATCCAATCCAATATTTTTCAAGAATAAATCCAGATCTGTTATTATGTTACAAGACAAAATAAATAAATAAATTAGAGAATGTTAATATGAGATCGCAGGATAGGACACTCTGGGGTTCCGATGGATGGTTGATCCATTGCAAGCACCCCTAATGCTAAACGCATATCTAATATTGCAGGAAACAAAAACATGAAAACTCAACTAAAATGCTGGCAGCTGGATCACTCCTAGAGACCAGCCTCCACTGAATTATGAGAAACGGATCATAAATGCAATTAGCAAAAATCTCCATCAATCCAAAATTAAAGTTCTCTGCGGAAGAGAGCAGACTACAAATGCCTCCAAAACCTAAAAATAAAGGAACTAAACATCAAATCAATCCATCCATCAGCCATCATATTCCTAGAAATATGTTTATGTGGAGCTACTTATTAACACTCCTTTCCAAGTGCCGTCCAGAAAAAAAAAAAAAACGAGAGTAGGATTAGATAACTGGCAGAGAACCTTTAGGGCTTCAGAGCAATTGCCAGCCCAAACCTGGGACTTTTGTCCAAGGCCTTGGTATCAACCTCACTAGAGATTGTCAGCACTGACTTCGGTATGACCTCATGTTGCACCAATGCCCCAAGTTTCCCGTGGTTGTTGAGCTTGGCTTTCACCAATGTCAGCTGATCAACGGGAAATGACCCTCCAATAGTAAGAGTATTCTCATTAGTGGAAAACCTTCTAGTGATCTCTCCAGCAACAGCACTCTTTTTCAGCAGATCCAGATGATGCACGTATGATGCTCGTAAAGAATCTCCCTTGTCACCTCTGTAAGAAGAGAGAGCGGCTAAGTAATTGGTTCAATAGATATCACCCGTCTTTTCAATATCTATATTTTTTACCAGACTTTAAATAGATAAAATATCTAGCAGAGTTGGCATGACAACGCGTCTAAGAGCTTACAAAATCAACGAAGCATATGAATCAGGTTTGGTCACACTAATGCCAGCAGTGTACTTCGTGAAACTACCCAAAGTAGCATCATAGCCTGCCTCTGCACCAAAAGCAATTGTCGGGGTACCAATGGTGGCTGTAACATCAATTGCTGGAGATTGATTCAAAGCAACAGCTGTGGTGAAACTTGCACGATCATGAAAATATTGAACCTCCAACTGCAAAATGCAGGGCAGAAACAAACTATAAAAAGCCATTACCGTCATTACAAACAGGGCCAGATTTGCATGTAGATATCAGGTTGCTTGTTGCCGTGCTTCACCCCAATCCAACAATACAGGCAATATTATCACTCTAATCAATAAAAGATTCTCCCTCGTATACCTGGATACACCTATACCCCAGTCAAGCCCCGATGCCTCCAAAAGGGATTGGCACAAGAAACAATTACCACACGCCCTCCTGCTAGGCACCCGAGAACAGCCCGAGCAGGATGGAGACAGCGTGGGCGGAGTCTGACCAGATGGATGCTCAGCCCATTGGAGGAGAACCCTTCCCTTTAGGCAACATACCCAGTCCCCGCCTGGAAGGACCTGACATACCACCTCCCCGCCCTTATCCCCATGCAACTTGTCAAGTCTTGTGGTTATATAAAGAACTAGAGGGTTCAGGGTTCAGGGATTTTTCCTCTCTCCCATATCTTTCCTTTCCTCTTCACTTAGTTTTTCTTCTTTCATATATATACTCCCTCATGCTCTAACTTAATCATCGAAGGATCCCCACACAATCAGAGAGACTCGTTTTACAAGTACACTAGCCACCTTCCCCACCACCAGTCAACTTTCACCAAGTGTCACCCCATCCTTGGAGTTTCATGACTTCATCACTCCCTTGATCAAAGATGTAGGAAAAAAACCAATAAAGGAGATACCTCACACACTTGATCTTAGGAAAGCTTGGTTTATTTTATTCAATGGTTCAACTAATGTCTACGTGCTTATTTATATGCACCAAAACAAATAAAATAAGAAAAACCTAAGAAGTCTTTATTAAAAAAGGAAACTAAAATCCTAAATTACCTGCTAAATAACAAATTAATATTCGTCAATAATAAAACCGAGTTAAATTCCTTAATAATAAAACCGAGAATAATCATACACTATACCAATTCTCATTGTTGCCCCTCATTCCCTATCAATAATTCAGCATCTATTCCAGATTTCCAAGTATTTACTTTTTGAGGAGTTCAAGCTTAAAAGATGCCAAACTTCGTAGTTCCTACCTTGCCAGAGTTATAGTCAGGAAATTTGATGGAAGCAATGGTCTTAGTTGACGGAAGGAAGTCGGTGAATGTCAAGGTTGTTGATATCTGTCGGAATGAAATGAGAAGATGCTTATTTGAATACGGAACTTGCAGTTTAGTGTTTTAAACAAATGAAGAAGCAGCATACATTGGATTCTGTGTCAATTTTAACATCAAATATAGTGTTCCTGTACATGTAGAGCGCAGCAACATCCCCAGTTGATAGCCCTCCTTTCTTCACAGCTGTTGATGTGAGGGCCTGAAAAACAGAAATTAAAAACACAAGAAGGAGCAGATGTTAAAGTTTAAGAGACGATGGATCTCAGCACCACTGCATCTGAAGACCAAAAATGACTGCTTTCCCGACATTTAAGGGTCATTCAAAAATTGAAAGACAAAACCTAAAACAAGTAGAGATTGAAAATGATCCGTATGGCATTAGAGGGTAGCCAGAAACCCATGCATCAGTCACACGATGCTAGCAATAAATAATTAACATGGGACCACCCATAAGATAACTTACAACAACCAGATGCATTAGAAAGGCTACATGGCTCTTCAATACATGATTGGATTTCACATTAGTAAAGAAATGAAATAAACCTCATTTGAACATCTGAAGATCATTACTATTGTTAAAACACTCTCCTCAGCAGCATCGACACAGAGCTTGATGCCCAGACCCTCAAAAGGACCACAAAATTATATGTACATAAATATAACAAAAGAATACATACCACTCCAGCATCGCTGAAAGTAGAGACGCTAAGTCTCTGATCAGAATTGTAATCCTTGGTCAACAGATCTACATAGCATCAACAAATCATCACCATCAAATCAATGATTCTGATTTTCTTTCACTGATGGAAATTGACTGATTACCTTTTGCTTTCTTGCCGATATCGGCGAAGAGTACAGGTCCTTTGCTCATTTCTAGACTGGAGCGACACAGAGAGATCTCTCCGCCCTTTGTGTTTGGTTCTGATTAGAGAGAGAGATACAGAGTCCGGTGAAATGAAGGAAATATTTTGGCCTGGCTTCTTCTTCTCCGAGCTTTCGATTCTTTGGTGACAGCTGTTTTTAACACTCAATTCCAAATGATCGATGATGTGGGTATCATAGATTGATTATAACCATCACAATTATTATAATTACAATTATAATCAAGAATTTAGTGTTCATGCTTCCGGCTTTAGGTGTAAATTACACTTGTCAAACATTTTCTTTCAATTGCGATTTGTTAGCTATTTTTAGTCTTTTGTGAACTGGTATTCTTCTATCTTCACGTGTTCCAGTTCTGCGATCCTTTTTAGCTATTTTTAGTGCTTTGTGAATTGGTATTCTTTTAGACACGTATCTGAGTCCATTCGCTTTTCTGTTAGTTTTTTTATCAAACTAGACAGGCTTAGTCATCAGTGGATTATCATAATATATCATGAAGTTTTTGAAGGGGAAAATGATTTTTGAAATCAATTTGGGTTTTTTTCTAGGATTTTTTGAAAAAATTAATAATTAATTTATAATTCAGAACCTAACAAAAATGAGATCATAAATAAAGAAAAAATAAATAGATTAAATATGAAAAATTAGATGTTGATTTTTATAAGATTTTTTTGTTTGTAAAGGTGAGAGAAGAAATCATATTATCTATTAATTGCAGGTCAATGATATATCAATGATATATTATTTGTGTGCTTGCATTATTTTATATACAATGATAGATTTAGTATTTTTATTTTATTTTAAATCTCGTGTTGACTAAAATTAATTTTTAAAATTATAAAGGTAAAGTATAATTATGGGTAAATATTAGATGGGTTAGAATAATTGCCCCTAACTAAAATGATTATATTTTAATTTAAGATTTCTTTAGCAGGCCTATTATTTGGTTCTTTAGGGAAATTGTCTTATATTATAAAGTGAAAAATCAGATACTATAGCTCGTAATGAGAGATAAGTTTTGTTTGTTGAAAGAGATGAAGTGAAGTTCATCTCGTTAATGTATATATTATATAGTCAATTGGTTGGTTATATATAATATTAATTTTATTTATGTAAATATATTTAATTATAATAAATATTTTATTTATCTTTAATATCCATCAAATATTTAAATTAATAAATTTAAAGTAAAGATAAAGTTCTTAGAACAAAAATATTTTGTAAAAAAAATTATAAAGTTGTTATGATTATGTAATTTCTATTGCATCAAAATATTATTCCTAAAATATTCCTAGTCAATACTTTATTAATACTATATATTAATTAGAGCTGTTGAAAGTTGAGACTAATACATATTATATAATTTCATTTATAAAAAGAAATAATTATTCTTATAAGTTAAAGTATGGGAGATACTTAGAACTAATATATAGGTGTCTGTCAGATGACATGTACACTAAATTGACTCGCGTGAGAATTCTATATAAAGAGGTCATTTGTGTTTATGAAATGGCTCATATCATGGGTATACAAGTGAACCTTATATTTAAAATCACTAAGTTATCTTATATAGAAAGTGTTATGTTTTGATCTTACTACATGTTATCCTAATCAAGGATAATAAACTAGTAGATATTTGGTATACCATGAATTATATAAATATATTTAAATAATCAATAAATGATTCATCACTCTAGAAAAATTAGTAAAAATATTTTAGTTGTTCTCAAATAATATTCATTATAAATTATTGCTTAAGATGGAATGAGATTTGAAAAAAGTTCCAAATCTTATTCAAGGACTTAATGACTATGGTGTTGATAACAAACATGATTTAACAAAGCAGTCATATTTCACACTATAATGTCTAAATCGAAATATTATTAATAAAAAGATAATAATTACACTGACAAAATGGTCATTAAAAGATTAAATCAAATTATTTAAGATTTTTTTTAGTATTTGAAGGATCATGATAGGTTGTTAGACATTGTATTTGATCTTTAAATATAAATCAATCAATTATTAAATTGATAATAAATTAATAAATTTTATTTTATTTTATTTAAAATTATAATTTATATTTAGGTCACCCTGTTAGGGAACCTAATGGGTTACTCACATAAGAACCATTGATTAGAAATTAAAATAGAAAGATTAATCAAGTATGACTTGATTTTAAATAAGTTTTAAAAATTAAAAACTAGAGTGTAATTTATACAGGGAATCACAATTCTAGATCTAAGAAAATCAAATAAAGACCTGAATGAATCAGTTTCTAAAATTACCTTCAAATAATATATGTAATATTATTCATAGGGCAAATTTATATTTTTCTATTTATAGAATTTTCAAGTTTCTCTATAAGTAGAATGTTATGCCTCTTATTTTCTATGCAGTAAATAGTATAAAAACTATGTAAGTTATAAAACACATGAAAAAAAAAAAAGAGTTAGTACTCAAAGATATAACGATTTTTCTCTCCTAAAAAGGTTAAGAAGATTTCTCACTAATAATTTGTGTGAATTACCATTAAAGGCTAGACACATCCGATAACGACTATATTTTTTTGGTTTCTTAAGCGTGTAACAACAACAGGTAAAATATAATCAAAAATAAAATTGGAATTGCGATCAAATTCTATAGTTATTACGTCATCAAACGATCTTTGTTTGATTTATGTAATGTCATTAAATAATGTTAAACACTAGTTTTTCAAATAAAACACAATTAAAAATTAAAAAATAATTTTTATTTTTTATTTTATTGGGTCAGACCTAATTCAATGTATGTTGAGTTGTGGACCGGACTCGGTGAGGCCAGAACTAGTTCTACCAAAATAATGTAGCATGCTCCATTATTTATGCTAATTGCACTATGCAATTGCACTATTCACTGAACAGTGTAATTAGTATGAACAATGTGCAAGAAGTAATAATTACTTGCTTTTCCTTCCTTGTGTTTCGGATGCAAAAATACTATAGGACCCATGAATAATAAATTATGTCTTTTCCTTTACCAAATAGTTTGCATCTGCGTTGTACACAAAACACAGACATAACCTCTTAAATAAACGTTGTTTTAGATGACTTGTAGTTTGTGACAAACTAGTCTTACCAAAATTATTCAAAGTTAAAAAAAATACATGATTTTTAGGTAATCTTTATATAAACCCTAAGTAACTCTAGATCTATTTATTAAAATCTTTAAGACTTCTTAAAAATTTTAAATTTACAATTTCCGCTACATATATGTGCTTTAAAAAACTCAACACATCCATCTTAGTAATTTTGAAGCTAATTAAATAAGAAAATCTAACATAAAGAGGTTATGTACAAGTTATGGGAAAGAAAAGAAGGAAGAAAGTGAAATTTTCTATTGTAAGATTAAGAAATTTTACTAAAAGAAATTTCAAGAATACATCTTGGTGAATCAAGTATAACTTTTTGTAAAGTTATCATAATTATATAATCTTAGTGTTTAAGGAAATATAAGAGAAACATCTATAACTCTTATGTTTATAACTCTTAAAAAAAAAGTCATTCCTATAGTGAAAATAAGGCTTAAAGTTAGGGGTTAAAATATGTTAGTCTTGGAAGGAAAATCAAGAGAAAAAAATAAAAGAAGATTTTGGACAAAAAAAGAAAGAGGAGATCAAGGGGAGATACCTGATTAGTACTTAAAAGTGCATTTTTATCAAAGTTTTATATCATCATTTTGCACTTGAAGTATCAATAACTCCTTAACTAAAGCATGTTTTATAATAATATATCTAATAATATAAGATACCTTTAATTTATGGTAAATGTTTATTTTAAATACAGGCATATCACATAAATGAAAGGATTGATTGATGACTTTAAGAACTTAAGTTGCAAGGGCAAAGAGATGACCAAATTTAGAAAAGAGATGTCGGTGCAATCCAAACCAGAACACTGTTTGGTAATTGGGTCATATCTAGAGCTACAGATCTCAAATTTAGGTCTACTTTATATGGATGGAAAGGTAAGACATAGGCCTACAACTTTCATATGGAGCCCAAGATCTAAAAAGGCCATTATCAAGTCAAAATTGTAGCAACAACTATCATTTTCAAGTCCACATTATTGCAACAACAAAGAAGCCCGAAGCTATCCTTCAGCCCAAGCAATGTTTAGTATTTTGGCCATATCTGGAGTTCTAGAAGTCCAAATGAGCTGAAGTTTTTACATAAGAAAGCTGAGACAATTTCCTACAACTTTCATGTTTTTGACTGGCTCTAATTTTGATGTTATCAATGACGTTTTGGGCAGATAAGAGAAGATAAGGATTGTCATCAAGTCAAGAGTTGGCTACCCACTCATCAATTAGTCATCAAATCAATAGTTCCCAATTTTGGCCTATAAAAGGAGACATTTGCCATGCATTTAGGCATCTTGGTGTCCAGATCAAGCTCATGCTTTTCCTTTCTCTCTTTGTATTTTTTGTAATGTTTATGCTTTGCTTTCATTAATATCAAATTTATGCCTTTCATTTCCTTTCATTTACTTAGTTAACTTTTATCTTATTTATGTTCTTATTTTGTTTATTTATTTTTCTTTCTTTCATTATGTCTAGCTAAGTTTATTATGTCAAGGTGAAAAGGTTACACTAATGGTGTAAGAATAAGTATAGTGTAAACTTAATATGGACTTTAATGTTTGATACTAACATGTTTTGTATTTGTTATCTTGTTCACTCTTTAATCTTTTCTTGTTAAATGTCAAATCTTGATTTATGTTGTATAACATTTGGTACAACAAATGCTTGGCACTTTCATAGTTCATACTGTATGGTATAACCGACACCTGAGCTATGAAAGGAACTTGATTTGTTGTTAACATAAGTTATAATCATGAATGGTTGACGAGATTTACAAGTACTAGTATTAATCGAATAAGAAGACTAATGTAATCATGTTAACAATCTATAATCTGATTGGAACCTCCTTTGTGTGTGGTTTCCAATTGAATAATAAGAGTTTATACTATACTTGTTTGACATACCATTAGTGGAACCTCTAACCTTGACATTTGTTATTATCATTGTTTAATCCTTACATTAATATTTCATCTCCAAGTTCTCATCATCATCTTCTTCTTCTCTTTCTTTATTATTATTATTACTACTACTACCACCACTACTATTGTTATTATTATTATTATTGTTATTATTATTAGTATAGTTGTTGTTGTTATTGTTATTATTGTTATTATTATTGTTGTTGTTGTTTATAATTTATACAATTAACCTCCCTGTGGTTCGACCCCGGTTTTGCCAGGTTATTTATTACTTCGACACTCCTGCACTTGGGAGAAGACATCAATCTTTTAGTCGTGTCAATACCACAACTAG